TATATAATTTCACAATGGTGGCTGTGTAACCAGTTCACCTCAGTACAGCTTGGCTCAGTACTGGTATAAGAGGAGTAAGGTAGGTTAATTAACTCAACTCCCATGCCCAGCATGAACTCTTAGTTAGCCCTATCAGAGACACTATTCAATGGTCGCTTCGTTCTGAAAGGATCTGGTTTCTGTTAGCAATAAAGGCTGAAACGCTCTAGCCCTCATGAGTTTCTGCCATGTTGCTTACACCGATCCAGTTCCTTCATATCTTCGAGGGTCCACCAATAGCTGTTGTGGGTTCGTTTCCCACGGGGGGCCAGTATGAAAAATGTACGCACTCACTAACTGTAAGTCGCTCTGGATAAGAGCGTCTGCTAAAATGACTCAAATGTAAAATGTAGTTATCCACACTCCAAGCTGATACATATTCAATAACTTTAATGTGTGGCTCAAGTCATAGAGATCGATCAAGTTCTCTGCTCATTTTTGGTTGCAGTCACCTAGACCTGGTATACTAACCTGAATCTCAGGTTTCGCTGCACACCGGCTGTTTATGTGGAAGTTGGAACAGTGGACCACATTGTTAGGAGAGTTTGACACAAGTACATGTGGGAGAGTGGACTGTATTGAGAGGCTGCCATCTAGCGGTAATAAACAGTATGACAACCATTAAATGTGTAAGGCAGGGCTCTTCTAACTCTGGTTCATTACAGTTATCTAAAAACTCTACTTAGAATCAAGGCAGATCAACTCAATAACCCTTCATAAAGGGTCTAATAATTATCTAATCGAATTTTAAGCTGTAAACCAACTGCTGTGCATACGTATACACAGTTCAGTGCACTGTGAGGGGAAAAACTACTACTATACACAAAAACATATACTCTGGGAAGGAGTATTGGAAATACTGGGCTAGATGAGAAAATCCCCCAAACTGAAACACACTGACAAAGTATATACACAGTTAATGTTTTATTAAAAAAGAACTTATTACAGTTTATTTATACACAACTATTTAAGAGGTTATAATCCTGTAGATAGAGAGCAGTGGAGTTTGGTGGGAGGAGCTATAGAAGGATGGGCTCATTGTAATGGCTGGAATGGAATTAATGGAACACCATTCTATTCATTCCATTCCAGCCATTCCAATGAGCCTGTCCTCCTATAGCTCCTCCCAGCAGCCTCCTCTGATAGAGTGTTTGTCTTGTGACAAGCATGCCCACAACGCAAAGTAAAAGGAGGAGAGGAGAAAATGTAGAAGAGGGAGTGGTTGAGAGAGGGAGGAGGGAAGAGGAGTGAATCCACATAAGACCAATGACAGATTAAAAAACACCCTTTCAACTTTTTCAAGTAGAACACACTAGGTACAAATACAGAGTTCCTATAAAAAACCTAAAACAGCCATTTCCCATGCCATGTGCCCAACATCCCCTGTAGTGAAAGCAGTAGGACTGTGTCTGGGTGTGGTTCATTCCACTCTGGAGAAGCACAAAGACAGAACGTGAGGTGCACATGATGAATCGAGCCCCTCCACTCCACACCAGATGCATGCAAGACAAGTACACTACAGCCAACACAGGGGTCAGGGGTGATGCCACAAAACAGCACTAGGGGGCGCCGATGGAAGCCAGGCCTCTAGCTTCCCCTCTGATGTAATAGTCTGGATAGAAGCCACTAGCTAAGGCCTTCAGTACTGACTTCACTATGCACAAAGTGTGGTTGGATGTGTGTGTGGGTGGAGGGGTGCTATGGCTATGTACCACTATCTCTTAGTAACACTCAAACCTTTACTACAGTAATTGCTTTGGCCCCCTCCCACCTCGATAATACTTTGAACATAGGTTGACTTTGGTCAGTGTTTAAAGTGTGTTGGGGAAAACTAGATCTCACATTGGGTCAGTGTTTAAAGTGTGTTGGGGGAAACTAGATCTCACATTGGGTCAGTGTTTAAAGTGTGTTTGGGGAAACTAGATCTCACATTGGGTCAGTGTTTAAAGTGTGTTGGGGGAAACTAGATCTCACATTGGGTCAGTGTTTAAAGTGTGTTGGGGGAAACTAGATCTCACATTGGTATGCCTATGGTCTTATGTATTTCAGAGAGGGAGGGGTTAAAAATTGAATCAAGCAGTAAAACTTTTTCACAATCTTTTCAAAAATAATTTAGAATCAAAGTTGCAACGGAAGCACACTCATGTTTATTGGATATTTTTGGATTGTAAGAGTCATTGAGTCCTCGACTTGAGAGTTAAAAACAAACAGAAAAACAAAGTTTATAAATAGTCCTCTCATCACGGAGTTAGATTGGGGAGAATAAAAAGGAAGGGGTGAGAAAGAAACCAAAATGTTTACCATAGCAACAGACCACAGCTGAGTACATGTCATCTTTGTATTGCCCCGTTTTGTGGGAACATCGACACTTCTGCTTGAAAACCAAACCAATAGTTATAATGAGGACAACACAAGAGCACTCTTAAAAAATACCAAAATATCACATTTACTCCCCTATGCAAGTGTCCAAAAACAAAAAATGGGCTCCATTGCATTTCTCCACTTATTCTGATGGGATGTGTTTTTCTTACTTTTTCACTTTAGTACAATACTGCAGAAATGTGAAGAAAATAAAAAAAACGAAATCATAAAATCCAAACTGAATACTTAAAATAGAAAAAAAGAAAATTCAAGTTCTAATTCTCTTCAGCATTACACAATTTGGCTGAAGCATAAGTACATACACCTTTGTTTTAACAGTGGTGCCCGTAAATGATTTGATTAAAAAGGAGAAATAAAAGAGAAGGTTTCCATATAGAGTGAATAAATACAGGCAGCTCAGGAAATGGCAGAAGCCAACTACAAGGTACTCTGCTGCGTATCCTTGTGACATCTTTCAGTTTTTGCAGGCTCCATTTGGCCTGTGAGGAAACATGGGAACCCCAAAACACACGTCCCTGTCTTATACCAGGCAATGGGTTGGAATCCAATCTGTCTTTGACCAGAGAAGAGAGGTGATTATCCAGGAGCCTTGAACAGTCAAGCTTTTAGGGAACACTGACATTAAAAAGAAACAAAATGTGGGCTCCCATCCAAGCCCTATCCCAATGTGGCCTTCATCACATTGCGCAGTCTGATACTTTCATTGGGCCCTATGCTTTTGTTTTGCCCAGACTATCATACATTCAGTCTAGTTTCTCCATCAGTCAATTCATTGCCATTGTCTGGAATCACTCTCACGTTGATCTGTACATCTCTGAAGGGGACCAGCAGGTATAGATCCATGGAATATCTGATGTAAACCCCACAATTGACACTTTACCTCCAAACATCTATTGTTGTTGTTTTACTTATCAGACAATTGCCTGAAACAAGCTAACTCTGTAATATACCCATATATGTCTTTAGTTGAAGATACCGTCCAGCAAACGAACTATCCCTACACCAAGTCAAAAAAACACATATCATAGTTTAGCACAAGCAATAGGCAAAGTTGGTAAGTTCAACGATGTTAGCAAAAAAAAGACCTGCAGATATTCCCCCCCCCCCCCCCTTCGTATTTTCCTCATCTAAGAGTGAAGGGTAACCCAGGTAAATCACTAAGCCTTATACACGACGCAACTCAAGCCTTCAGACAGTAGCCACACAAGCAGTCCTACTTTAGTGGAGCCCTACACTAGCCTAACGCAACACAGTCCAACACAACGTCACTTCTGGATCATGCCCAAACTGTACAGAATGATGTCCTCCCCCCCCAAAAATAGATATAGTCGGTCTTTGCCACCAACATAAACAAGGTCCAAATCCTCTAGGAGAGAGGAGTGGGGGGAGGTTGTAGGAAATAAAATAAAACCTTGTGCTTTTTTTTTTTTTTTTTTTACAAAAATGCTTCTTGTGATTTTTCCTATGCTCCTTTTATTTTGACAAAGAAACAGAGCTGAGGTGAGTATGTTGGGTCTCTGTGCTGTGGCCGGTGAGGTAAGGTCGGCCACTTCTACCTCACTTTCCAACACATCAGCGTTCAATCCCTCATTCTGGGCATTATTCACCCCTAACAAACTTCAGTGGATAGTTAATACCTATGGCGTTCCAGGAAGTGATGTACTTTTCTAAAGGGGTACAGGTAGTCTGACAGCCATACCAGCTTGGACAGGCTCAGAGAGATGTAAGCGCTTTGATTGACGCGCTGGCTGGGTTCATAAGGCTCTAATGAGAAAGGTGAAGTATCACTGTACAAGCAAGGTGCTGCACACACATACAAAACAACACAGGCAGCTCCTAACCCCAGCCAAAGGAAAAGCACAAATGACAGAAATGAACACGAGAAAAACATTGGTGATATACAAAATAGATATTGAAGCTGCAATTCCCCTCTTTCATATTACTTTAAAATACCCAATCACCTGTCTAGCAGGACAAGTCGACAGCCAACGACAGCAGGGTGATGTATCCAATGTATCCAATTCCAATCCAACTTTACCATTCAAACAAAAATAAAATCCAGACAGGTACGAATTCGGCTGAAGACCTGGACCATAATTGCCATGACCGTGACTATGACCTAACTCTCTCTAGTTCCTCTTCTTCAACACATTAATGAGATTAAGAGAAGGGAAGGGAAATCCCCCGGTGCCCCCCTCCCGCTGCCTATTCAGCCCAGCCCATAGAGCTAGTCTCCATTTTGTCCGGTCGTTGGTGCAGTGAGGGTAAGGCCGAAGGTCAACGGTCAAAGGTGACTGCATGCGTTGGAGCTAAAACGCAGCTACCGGTGGAATGTGGGGACTGCTACCTCTACGTCCAACACACCTTTACAGGGATTGAAGGAGGAGAAAGCGACTGGGACATGGAGAAAACACAAAGCGGGTGGAGGTGTGTGTGATATACACAGAGGATTGATATCCATAAAAATCCTTGTTTTAGTAATAATAATAAAAAATCAACTTATATGAATATGATGTCTGCTTTCTCATGGTTAGGAAATCATACAGTCTGTGGTTTTAAAGGGGAGTCGTCTCCCATCACTACAACTCCATATCCTGGGCTTCGTCTTCAGAGAAATCCGACATGGAGCTTTCCGATGAGGAGTCGCCCTGGCCCTCTTCCTGCTCCTTGAGAGCCTCCTCGGTTGCATATTTCTGGATGTACTCTGTGGAGAGCAAGGCAGCAGGGTCATTAACACTCAACCTCATTGGCTATACTCTGTGGAGAGCAAGGCAGCAGGGTCAGTAAGACTCATCCTCATTGGCTAAGAGCTCCGAGCCAGGGAGCAGACACGGGCGCTTTAAAACAGGGAACAAAGCAACAGCCAGGAGTGACAGACAAGACACACACTTTAGTATATCAGATCTGAACAAAGGGTGGACTTTGGCTTAAGGCAGGGGTATCTACTGCACTACTGAATTCCCTTGGCACAGACAACACTGAGTAAAGCAAGGCGTATGGAGCGAGGCGTACCTTTGATTTTCTGTTTGTACTCCTCTGGCCGGTGGAGGTACATGGCGGCCGCGTCTCCGTTCAGCGGGTCGATGGGGTTGGGGTATGCCAGCAGCTGAGGCAGGAACGACTCAAAGATATTGGTGAGATCTGTGGGAGTGGACGAGAGAGAGAGCGAGAGCGAGACACAGAGATATCGATAAAACAGACCACAATGAACTAAGACTTTGCTAAAATATTGACTTTTACAATTAAAGCATTCTTTAAAAAAACATCCTTTCCGACATAACTGCAGATTTGACATGACCGGATAGGTGATAGTTATGTAATCGAACCCTTGCTTACACCTATCCAATCATTTTAGGATAAGTGATGAGTAAAGGGCCTCTATGTAAAAAAAAAAAAAAAAAAACATCCTGCCAGAGGAAGGCCCTTCCACTAGACATACGGTTGCAGGCCTTGCTTTGTCTCTGCAAGAAAATTAACGCTCAATGGAAAATGTGCAATGCTGCAGATGTCTACTGGATGCAATGATATATATATATATATATACTAGATGACTGCTAGGGAGCGCTGTGTTGAAGTCACAGTGCCTCCATCTTGGCACTCCCCCTCCATTGGAAGCTATAGAAATCAGTTGAATAATGTCTACATTCGTTTTTACCACATTTATTATAGACACTTTAATGTATACTTTCAATTATATTATGTAAGCTAAACATTTACAAATAATGAATAAATACAAAACATTTTCCTTAAAGTATAATTTTTGTAGATTATTAATGTTATTGTCCCCACTACAACAACAAAATACTTAAATACATGTAATATAGTCCTTGAAACATTTAATTGAAATACTGTAGAATTCCATTAATTCCTATGGAGTACTGCTCCTACTGGGGAGTGCCAATAGGCTCTATGCACGCATCACTTCCGCATTGGCGTAAGGATGCTTGGACATTTCCGGTTACCGCAAAAAAGCATTAGACAGTGACAGTAGACCGTTATGATGGCAGAGATGAAGTTTACAAGGTGTTTGCTGGAGTTGCCTAAAGTATCTGTTAATGATATACGGAGGGTCGTCCGGACATCCAGTACGACACCACGTAGCAAACTGGATAAAGGCTTCACATTTTACATTTCTTATTTTCTTTGCAACTTTGAAGGTAATATGCTAACGCTAGCTAGCCTGAGCTAGAAGCCTTGCTTTGGTGTTTTAAGTCATGACTCCGTCCTGCTTCAGGTTAATCATGCTTTAAATCAATCAATGCTTTAAATAAAGTTTAATCATGTGTATATACCTCACTTCATGTGTTTGTACTTTTATGAAAGTATCAGGTAAAAACAGGGCTACAAATGAGATCTCTGTGAGAGCCCACTGCTACCGCTCAATGAAGAAACTAATGCCACCACACCAGCTGAGAGTAGCACTAGATTAAGTGACACTTTCAAAGTTCTGTTGAACTTGTTCAAAGTTCAGTTCAACACATGTTTTACTCGTTTAATGTTACCACAGCTTTGATTGCCATTGCTAAGAGAACACTTTAGAACTGTAGTGGTTTTCACGATAGCTGAACAGTGGTAGCCTAATACAGACCAGGGTAGCTGAGTGGGAATTGCCATGCTTTGTTGTCGGGTCTGTTGGAAACAAATTGGAGTTTGGTTTGAAATGTAAACAATAATGAGATTACTACTTTTTCCTGACTTGAGGACTGCAATGACAGTAACATATTCCACTCAGCTATTCTTCAAACTGCTGATGTTCTACTCAAAACTGTCCTGTCATCTTTACTTCTTTCTTTATAAACATATGGCCCAACTTCCTTGCTTTTGTACTTGATGTTTCTACTTTTCAAGAGGAATTAGGAGCAAAACCTTCACTCTACTGTTGTTATTGGTACTAGGCTACAATGTTGCACCACTCACCTACTGCTCTGCCAATACTGTTTGAAGGTAAGTAAATGGCACAAGACAATAGGTAAGTGGTGGGAGACAGTATAGCCAAGTGGTGCAAGACAGTAGGAAAGTGATGCAGAAAGCACAAAAGTGACACGAGACAGTAGATAAGTTGCTTACACCAGTAAAAAGTAGAAAGAACAAGTTTTGCTCCTACTCCTGCTGCTGCAGACCCTCGTCTTTCAAAACCCATTCAATTATGCTTCTGTGTATTTCAGATGACATTGCGTGATTCACAGCCAGTTGTGCTTGTTAAAAGCTAGTTGCATTACTATATCAGACTGCCCATTACTCTGAATGTGGCATGTCTGTCGTCCCTCCTGTACTTTCGTGCACTGAAACAGAGCAGAAGTGGCATAAACCACGAACAATGGTTTGTATCATTTCAATACCAGACAGTTGTGTCACATGCATACTAGCATCTCTCCGTCGGAGGCTCTATCACATCTTCACTTAGAAAGTGTCGGCTGCAGACTCGTGTGTTTGTTGTAAGAAAGTTGACTCGTCAAATGTTAATCACCCACCGTTTATGTAATTCACTGTCTTTGGGAAAAGTAAAAAAACTAACAGAAGAATTGCATCTGGCAGACACTGTACATTGCGGCACACAGCAGTGATGGCTGGAAGAGCTGTCATCCCGTTTTTGAAAGGACACTTTCGTACGTTTACACGTCATCGTGTTATAAGTCAAGACGAAGTATTACAAGTAAAAACATTAACAAACATTAAGATAAACAACAACAACGAAAATTAACCGTTTCGGATGTTTTTGACGACAAGCATTCAATGCTAGCATACGGTAGCACAGCATTCTACGATAACCGGAAGTTTACATCCATCCTGAGATTTAACCGGAAATACGTCATGCTCGCCTGTGCATATCGCCCATATAGCCGACCGGTGGCTTCAAAACCTCTCAATGGCCAAATCACAGCATCAGCAATACAGGGTTGATATCCATTGACTGGGTGTCTCTATTGGTTAAGTACAAATATGATCTGAAAATACACATTATTGGGTAAAACTTTAGACTGACTGTAACCCAGTGTTTTAGACATCAAATCAAGTGTATTTGGTCCCTACCCATAATCAAGACCTAAAGTAGACAATGCTTCATTGATTGGGTTGTTTTTGTCCCAACCCCTCCACTACAGTTCTGGAAAGCTAATTTGTTAGAGCTCTCAAAGTCCATTCAAAAACACTGGCAAAGCCCACAGTAGCCAAATCAACCATATTGCCTAATTAACTTGAGTGACTTATCTCGAACAAAAACAAAGCCGCGGTCCAAAACACACAGAACGAACCATGCGCAGAATGAACCTGGGAGGCTTCAGAACTTCAGTAATAACTCTGTAATCTTCTGATAAGAAATCCATTCCGTTCCATATTGATTAGTCTCTAGAAACATCAGTTTCTATAAGTGCAGTGGTAAGTTATAGCCATGTTTGGCATCCCGTGTGGGTTCATGTGAAAACCCCAGTGAAAGTAAATAGTGAGAGCTAATGAAACATCTGTTGTGGATAATCACAAGGTCATCTACACCAGTGTGCTGCTGTCTTAACCGTGTAGAGCAGGGGGGGTCAACCTCATTCCATGCAGGGCCTAGTGGCTGCTGGTTTTTGGTTTCTCCTTTCAGTTAAGACCTAGACAACCAGGTGAGGGGAGTTCCTTACTAAATCAGAGATCATAATTCATCAATCAAGTTCAAAGGCGGAGAGAAACCCCGCAGACACTCAGCCCTCCGTGGAACGAGTTTGTAGAGAGACTGGTCATTATTACTGAGGAATTAATTGCAATATGGAGGGGGGTAAGAGATGAGGACAGAGTGAGAAACAGAGGCACACAGAGACAGAGAACAAGAACCAGTGCGGTTCTGTTCTCTCAGCTGAAGAGTTGTTAATTATTAGTGTGAGGAGATGCAGCTAGGCCCACCTTTTTTCTGACTTTGCTGGCTCAGGCCTTTTCCCTGTAATCCTCTTACTGTGGGTAGCTGACCGCGCTCCGCTCCTACATGAAGCCACACCCACTACTTTTTCCTCAAGTGACGCCAGCGGCCATTTTTTTAAAATTATTTTTTACACTGGACAGGTTGCCTGTGTCACACATATGCATAAACAGACAAACACACACATACCCAAGCTCTGAGCCACCCCACTCACCATAAAGGGCCGTCCACGTCTGGTTGATGACATCTAAACACACTGTTCCTGACCTGGAGATGAGAGGAGAAGAGAGGGGGTTAAGGAGGCTCTCATAGACACTTCCTCTCTACACAACAGTGAGGAGCGGCCCAAAGTGAGGTTGGTGACAGAGGAGAATACATTCATTTAAAAATTCACCCCTGAAATGCATGAGGCAATGTTTTCATCATGAGTGTTTTCATGTTTTGTATTCAGGACAGATTATTATGGTCAGTTAACATAGAGGATCAGACTGTTGTTCTGTGTTTTGAATCCTCCAATGCCCACTCTCACCATTTGATCTGGGAGACAAGCCAAACAAACCTTTGATGTCTTTGAATGGACATTCAATGAAAATTGAATCAGATTATGCTACAGGACCTTAGAGATGGGCATGCAAGTGTTTAACAAGGTCATCACTAGATGGTCACTAGATGCATGCGCAAGCTCATTAGCTATTAGTTCTTCACTACGGGTTAGGGTCAAAAGGTTAGGGCCAGGGTTAAGGTTAGGGCTGGTGGCTTAAGATGGATTTGTGGTTAGAAAAGCTCCAGCAACACAAGACAAGGTTAAGGTAATGAGACTCATGAAAGAGGACACCCTGTACTATTTCAGTGTTCCTTTCAATCCGAAGTCGTGATCAACTTACGCTTCATCGATGTTGGGATGGAAGATTTTATTCATGAATCCTGCAAACGAAAGAGAAAAAACAACAGCTAAAGAAGATGAGCAATACGTAAAACTGAACCTATCCGGTGTTTGTGACAATAATAATAGATATCTATATTTTGTGTGTGAACTGAGAATTGAACCCCACCGGCCCTATGCCAACCCCCTACCTATTGAATTGAACCCCACCGGCCCTATGCCAACCCCCTACCTATTGAATTGAACCCCACCGGCCCCATGCCAACCCCCTACCTATTGAATTGAACCCCACCGGCCCTATGCCAACCCCCTACCTATTGAATTGAACCCCACCGGCCCTATGCCAACCCCCTACCTATTGAATTGAACCCCACCGGCCCCATGCCAACCCCCTACCTATTGAATTGAACCCCACCGGCCCTATGCCAACCCCCTACCTATTGAATTGAACCCCACCGGCCCCATGCCAACCCCCTACCTATTGAATTGAACCCCACCGGCCCCATGCCAACCCCCTACCTATTGAATTGAACCCCACCGGCCCCATGCCAACCCCCTACCTATTGAATTGAACCCCACCGGCCCCATGCCAACCCCCTACCTATTGAATTGAACCCCACCGGCCCCATGCAAACCCCCTACCTATTGAATTGAACCCCAGCGGCCCCATGCCAACCCCCTACCTATTGAATTGAACCCCAGCGGCCCCATGCCAACCCCCTACCTTTTGAATTGAACCCCAGCGGCCCCATGCCAACCCCCTACCTATTGACGGGGATTTGAAAGGGTATTTGTCCGGGAGATCTACTCGCACCTTCCAGACGCCCCCCTCGTACGCTGCTGGATGGGAGGAGACAGAGAGAGAGGAGGGGGATAACAGACATGCTACAGGAAAAGATCACATATGCACATCCAATATCTTTGAGCAGCTGCTGGAATATCAAAACAGTTCGGTAAATGGTAGAATTAGAGACTGCACTTCCTAATCTAGACCTATGCTGTCATGTGGTTGATTGGTGACCAACATTTTCACCAATAAACCACATTAGGAACATAGATTGCGGTGTGCAGTGCCTTCTTCTCCATTTATGTACATAGACATGTAGGCTTCAGACCTGGGTTCAAATTCATGTGCATTTGAGTATCTGGCATTTTAAAAATAAATCTGTATTTGAGTATTTTCAAATACACAGCCCCAAACAAGTACTTTTATTTGAGCATTTGACTGGTTATTTGTAAAAAAATATATATATAAAAAAAGAAAGAAAGTTGACAGCATTTCCAAATACATGGGAGTGTATTTGAGTATATCAACTACTTTCCAAGTGTATTTCCAAATACATAAAAATATTCAACTACTTGTCTTTTCAAATATAAGATATCTGAATACTTCAAATGTATGTGAAAGTAATTGCGATATCTGAAATAGTATTTAAACCCAGGTCTGGTAGGCTTATATTGTGGTCCTCTGTAGCTCAGCTGGTAGAGCACGGCGCTTGTAACACCAAGGTAGTGGGTTCGATCCCCGGGACCACCCATACACAAAAATGTATGCGCGCATGACTAAGTCGCTTTGGATAAAAGCGTCTGCTAAATGGCATATTATTATTATTATTATTATTATTATTATTATTATTATTATATACACTAATGACATCATTGAGGGAGATACTTAATATCAGTACAAGGATTACAGCAGAGAGACTTAACCATAGAAAACCTATGGACTTGACACTGCAGGGCTGTAGCCCTTCACACTGGTCAGAGGAACAGTCTTCTCCATACCACTGACATCAACAGTCAGAGGAACAGTCTTCACACTGGTCAGAGGAACAGTCTTCTCCATACCACTGACATCAACAGTCAGAGGAACAGTCTTCTCTATACCAAGACATCAACAGCAGAGGAACAGTCTTCTCCATACCACTGACATCAACAGCAGAGGAACAGTCTTCTCTATACCACTGACATCAACAGTCAGAGGAACAGTCTTCTCCATACCACTGACATCAACAGCAGAGGAACAGTCTTCTCTATACCACTGACATCAACAGTCAGAGGAACAGTCTTCTCTATACCACTGACATCAACAGCAGAGGAACAGTCTTCTCCATACCACTGACATCAACAGCAGAGGAACAGTCTTCTCTATACCACTGACATCAACAGCAGAGGAACAGTCTTCTCCATACCACTGACATCAACAGCAGAGGAACAGTCTTCTCTATACCACTGACATCAACAGCAGAGGAACAGTCTTCTCCATACCACTGACATCAACAGCAGAGGAACAGTCTTCTCTATACCACTGACATCAACAGTCAGAGGAACAGTCTTCTCTATACCACTGACATCAACAGTCAGAGGAACAGTCTTCTCCATACCACTGACATCAACAGCAGAGGAACAGTCTTCTCCATACCACTGACATCAACAGTCAGAGGAACAGTCTTCTCCATACCACTGACATCAACAGCAGAGGAACAGTCTTCTCTATACCACTGACATCAACAGTCAGAGGAACAGTCTTCTCCATACCACTGACATCAACAGTCAGAGGAACAGTCTTCTCTATACCACTGACATCAACAGTCAGAGGAACAGTCTTCTCTATACCACTGACATCAACAGTCAGAGGAACAGTCTTCTCCATACCACTGACATCAACAGTCAGAGGAACAGTCTTCTCTATACCACTGACATCAACAGCAGAGGAACAGTCTTCTCTATACCACTGACATCAACAGTCAGAGGAACAGTCTTCTCCATACCACTGACATCAACAGTCAGAGGAACAGTCTTCTCTATACCACTGACATCAACAGCAGAGGAACAGTCTTCACACTGGTCAGAGGAACAGTCTTCTCTATACCACTGACATCAACAGCAGAGGAACAGTCTTCTCTATACCACTGACATCAACAGCAGAGGAACAGTCTTCACACTGGTCAGAGGAACAGTCTTCTCTATACCACTGACATCAACAGCAGAGGAACAGTCTTCTCTATACCACTGACATCAACAGCAGAGGAACAGTCTTCACACTGGTCAGAGGAACAGTCTTCTCTATACCACTGACATCAACAGCAGAGGAACAGTCTTCTCTATACCACTGACATCAACAGTCAGAGGAACAGTCTTCTCTATACCACTGACATCAACAGCAGAGGAACAGTCTTCTCTATACCACTGACATCAACAGTGAGAGGAACAGTCTTCTCTATACCACTGACATCAACAGCAGAGGAACAGTCTTCTCTATACCACTGACATCAACAGTCAGAGGAACAGTCTTCTCTATACCACTGACATCAACAGTGAGAGGAACAGGCAGCATAATGGTAAAATGAGCAGTAGAGTATTTTAGCCATAGGCAGCGAAGAGTTCTTTACTTCCAGATCAATCTCTATAACAAAGACATCCCATGACTGGGTTCCAATGGAGAGGGGTTGTGTGTGTCATGAACTACCAGAATACCTGGCGCAGAATAAGAGCGTGGTGCCGAACTGGAACGGGACAGCACATGCATGCACACACTCAGAAAACAGACACTAGTGTATGTACTCCAAAGAGTCCTTTCTCAGAATACTGTTCTGTCTGCATCGTAACCACACACACACACATCCTCTCTTTATTGCTGTGGAATCAGGGGAGGGTTTGGTGAGACAGATGTTGTGAAAAACACAGTGTGAAGTATCTCCACCTACACCTCCTCTACAGGCCACGTTCCAATCCATTTTCCTCTCCTGCCCCCGTGAACTTCACTCAGCGTTCAAAACAGAACAGGAGGCTGACATTCCTGTGGTAGTTGACTTGAGGGCCTGGCTTCAGTCCAACGGGACCATCGTAACTGAATCTCTGTTGTGGTAGCTGACCGGAGGTCCTGGCTTCAGTCCAACGGGACCATCTTAACTGAATCTCTGTTGTGGTAGCTGACCGGAGGTCCTGGCTTCAGTCCAACGGGACCATCTTAACTGAATCTCTGTTGTGGTAGCTGACCGGAGGGCCTGGCTTCAGTCCAATGGGACCATCTTAACTCAATCTCTGTTGTGGTACTCTGTTATGAGTAAACATCAGACATGATAGTGATTCATGACATGACATACAGTATGAAAACATACTTGAAACCTGTTGTCTGGAAGTGATAGTTAGTGGTTTTCCACTTCAAAGTAAACGTTTGTCAGACGCTTTCAGACCTCAAAAGTGGTTTAGTCTGGGATCATTTTGTAATGAACTAGGCGATCACTTTAACAATGGAGAATGTATGAAGTTATTTGATTAGGGGCGGGACATAAAAACATAAGGCAGTTAATAGGTAAATAGGACAGAAACATTTCCATAACATGAGCAGCTCACATCTATAGAAATGATTTGAATAAGAAAAAACACTTACTTCCTTGTTGTCCATAAAACTTAACTACAAATTCATTGAGTCCACTGAGGATTGTGACTTCGTGCTTGCTTTCGATGCTGTGTTCAAGGGGGTTAAGGCTAATGGCCATTGGACACACTGGATTTGAATTACACAACGACCTGAAACTCTAGCGGAGGTGGCTGTGCCTAAATAAATAATGCATCTCTCATTTTTTTATTCCTCTTTGTTTTGGTCACAGAAATGTTTGACCTCATTAATATGATAATGCACCTGTTGATGGGGGAAACGCTTTCTCTGTGGAATGTCATCACAAGCTTCCTCACAAGGGAGTTGAGGAGAGAACACTATAGACGGGTTGGTTGTTTAGCAACAAAACCGACGCTTGCGCAACTATGGGGCAAAACAGACAGGTTGGCTTAGATTGTTGACAACATGTAAACAATATTTAGTCTCCAATGTTTATTGAAAACATAAATACATTTGCACAATGAGCACTTGTCTCAAATACATCGTTACAGTTGTTGCTTAGCTAGCGGATTTTTGCCATATTAGCATAGACGTGACATCAGTCAAAACACCTCAGAACAACACATGGTATCAAGAACAAGATGAAACTAGCTGAAACGAGCCACCTACGATTCCCCACATGGCAGTTTCTTGTCATTGTTGCCATCTGACCATCCAGAATCACAACAGCTCCTGCCCTCCTGCCCCATTGAAGCGTGTGCATCGTTTTCATGACGTTGTCAGCCAACCGGTCTACCCGACCTTCTCCCTCTCCCTCCGTCTCTCTCGCGCAATGAGAAGAGAATAGCTTGTGACAGGTAATGAAAACCAATCAATGGGAACAAAATCCACTGAGGCTTTCCTCGACTACCCTCTGATCTGTCAGTATGTCTATGAAATCAATGTCAACAATTAGTTGTATTATTACGTTTCCTTGATATCCGCGCGCGCGCACCCTACTCTGCTGATCCAGATGTGGTACCCATCCTGCAGAGGTGCCACAGCTGTGCCAAAACGCAGCCCTGACCTACACACATTAACCCCTCCACCCTACTCTCCTCCTCCCCTCAAACTCTGACAGATGATCTCACCATCTCTAGTCACCATTCTCCAGGAAAGGGGGACCAACCATCAGGGCCAGCAGTTCAGATTCCAGGGGAACTCCGTTTTCCAAATCCCTTTTTCGAACACACACACCCTCACTAGGCAACATGATACAGTACAGACAGGAGATGACAGTAAGACCCAGAGACAGCTGGTTTCACCCCACTGCTACTGTTCTCAACCTGGCCTTTTACCACACTGCTACTGTTCTCAACCTGGCCTTTTACCACACTGCTACTGTTCTCAACCTGGCCTTTTACCACACGCCTACTGTTCTCAACCTGGCCTTTTACCACACGCCTACTGTTCTCAACCTGGCCTTTTACCACACTGCTACTGTTCTCAACCTGGCCTTTTACCACACGCCTACTGTTCTCAACCTGGCCTTTTACCACACTGCTACTGTTCTCAACCTGGCCTTTTACCACACGCCTACTGTTCTCAACCTGGCCTTTTACCACACTGCTACTGTTCTCAACCTGGCCTTTTACCACACTGCTACTGTTCTCAACCTGGCCTTTTACCACACACCTACTGTTCTCAACCTGGCCTTTTACCACACGTCTACTGTTCTCAATCTGGCCTTTTACCACACTGCTACTGTTCTCAACCTGGCCTTTTACCACACGCCTACTGTTCTCAACCTGGCCTTTTACCACACTGCTACTGTTCTCAACCTGGCCTTTTACCACACTGCTACTGTTCTCAACCTGGCCTTTTACCACACTGCTACTGTTCTCAACCTGGCCTTTTACCACACTGCTACTGTTCTCAACCTGGCCTTTTACCACACGCCTACTGTTCTCAACCTGGCCTTTTACCACACACCTACTGTTCTCAACCTGGCCTTTTACCACACGTCTACTGTTCTCAACCTGGCCTTTTACCACACTGCTACTGTTCTCAACCTGGCCTTTTACCACACTGCTACTGTTCTCAACCTGGCCTTTTACCACACTGCTACTGTTCTCAACCTGGCCTTTTACCACACGCCTACTGTTCTCAACCTGGCCTTTTACCACACACCTACTGTTCTCAACCTGGCCTTTTACCACACTGCTACTGTTCTCAACCTGGCCTTTTACCACACGCCTACTGTTCTCAACCTGGCCTTTTACCACACACCTACTGTTCTCAACCTGGCCTTTTACCACACTGCTACTGTTCTCAACCTGGCCTTTTACCACACGCCTACTGTTCTCACCTGGGGGCTGGGAGTAGTTAACAGCACGTAGGTCAATCTCTGCAGATCTACAACACGTTTCAATGGAGAGTGAGAATCAAATACTTTCAACTACTGGTGTTGCGTTTCCCTGTTATGTAAGGGGAATATGAGACTTGTCAATCTCTACCCTGGTCCATAACCTGTATCTTTAGCCAACAGTCCTGGTGCCATTGTTGTCATGCCATACATAACATGTAGAACAATAGTCAGAGTTGGCGGCTGAATCAGAGAGGCACATACATCTGGGACTAGGCTTATGTTTCTCATGTGTTTGACTCCCTCATCTGGAGTGTGACATTCCCATTTAAATTCTATTCCCATGAGAAGATGAATAATCTGCCAGTCTTCGGGTGGATCTCTCTCCTTCCGGCCATTTAATGCCCATGACTCCAAATACACCAAGTTAATTACAGTAATCACTGAGGATGCGTCCCAAATGGCACCCTATTCCCTACATAGTACACTACTTTTGACCAAGTAGTGCACTATGTAGCAGATAGGGGATGGGGATAGGGTGCCCCCTCCTCCCTGAGCACAACTGGTTAAGACCAGGGATATCCCCCATCTCCTGTTACCACTCAATACAGCATGGGGTCATGTTATCCCCCATCTCCTGTTACCACTCAATACAACATGGGGTCATGTTATCCCCCATCTCCTGTTACCACTCAATACAGCATGGGGTCATGTTATCCCCCATCTCCTGATACCACTCAATACAACATGGGGTCATGTTATCCCCCATCTCCTGATACCACTCAATACAACATGGGGTCATGTTATCCCCCATCTCCTGATACCACTCAATACAACATGGGGTCATGTTATCCCCCATCTCCTGTTACCACTCAGTACAGCATGGGGTCATGTTATCCCCCATCTCCTGATACCACTCAATACAACATGGGGTCATGTTATCCCCCATCTCCTGATACCACTCAATACAACATGGGGTCATGTTATCCCCCATCTCCTGATACCACTCAATACAACATGGGGTCATGTTATCCCCCATCTCCTGTTACCACTCAATACAACATGGGGTCATGTTATCCCCCATCTCCTGTTACCACTCAGTACAGCATGGGGTCATGTTATCCCCCATCTCCTGTTACCGCTCAATACAACATGGGGTCATGTTATCCCCCATCTCCTGTTACCACTCAATACAACATGGGGTCATGTTATCCCCCATCTCATGTTACCACTCAATACAACATGGGGTCATGTTATCCCCCATCTCCTGTTACCACTCAGTACAGCATGGGGTCATGTTATCCCCCATCTCCTGTTACCACTCAATACAGCATGGGGTCATGTTATCTCCCATCTCCTGTTACCGCTCAATACAACATGGGGTCATGTTATCCCCCATCTCCTGTTACCACTCAATACAGCATGGGGTCATGTTATCCCCCATCTCCTGTTACCGCTCAATACAACATGGGGTCATGTTATCCCCCATCTCCTGTTACCGCTCAATACAACATGGGGTCATGTTATCCCCCATCTCATGTTACCACTCAATACAACATGGGGTCATGTTATCCCCCATCTCCTGTTACCACTCAGTACAGCATGGGGTCATGTTATCCCCCATCTCCTGTTACCACTCAATACAGCATGGGGTCATGTTATCCCCCATCTCCTGTTACCACTCAATACAACATGGGGTCATGTTATCCCCCATCTCCTGTTACCACTCAATACAACATGGGGTCATGTTATCCCCCATCTCCTGTTACCACTCAGTACAACATGGGGTCATGTTATCCCCCATCTCCTGTTACCACTCAGTACAGCATGGGGTCATGTTATCCCCCATCTCCTGTTACCACTCAATACAACATGGGGTCATGTTATCCCCCATCTCCTGTTACCACTCAGTACAGCATGGGGTCATGTTATCCCCCATCTCCTGTTACCGCTCAATACAACATGGGGTCATGTTATCCCCCATCTCCTGTTACCACTCAATACAGCATGGGGTCATGTTATCCCCCATCTCCTGTTACCGCTCAATACAACATGGGGTCATGTTATCCCCCATCTCCTGTTACCACTCAATACAACATGGGGTCATGTTATCCCCCATCTCATGTTACCACTCAATACAACATGGGGTCATGTTATCCCCCATCTCCTGTTACCACTCAGTACAGCATGGGGTCATGTTATCCCCCATCTCCTGTTACCACTCAATACAACATGGGGTCATGTTATCCCCCATCTCCTGTTACCGCTCAGTACAGCATGGGGTCATGTTATCCCCCATCTCCTGTTACCACTCAATACAACATGGGGTCATGTTATCCCCCATCTCCTGTTACCACTCAATACAACATGGGGTCATGTTATCCCCCATCTCCTGTTACCACTCAATACAACATGGGGTCATGTTATCCCCCATCTCCTGTTACCACTCAATACAACATGGGGTCATGTTATCCCCCATCTCCTGTTACCACTCAATACAACATGGGGTCATGTTATCCCCCATCTCCTGTTACCACTCAATACAACATGGGGTCATGTTATCCCCCATCTCCTGTTACCACTCAATACAGCATGGGGTCATGTTATCCCCCATCTCCTGATACCACTCAATACAACATGGGGTCATGTTATCCCCCATCTCCTGTTACCGCTCAGTACAGCATGGGGTCATGTTATCCCCCATCTCCTGTTACCACTCAATACAACATGGGGTCATGTTATCCCCCATCTCCTGTTACCACTCAGTACAGCATGGGGTCATGTTATCCCCCATCTCCTGTTACCACTCAGTACAGCATGGGGTCATGTTATCCCCCATCTCCTGTTACCACTCAGTACAACATGGGGTCATGTTATCCCCCATCTCCTGTTACCGCTCAGTACAGCATGGGGTCATGTTATCCCCCATCTCCTGTTACCGCTCAGTACAGCATGGGGTCATGTTATCCCCCATCTCCTGTTACCGCTCAGTACAGCATGGGGTCATGTTATCCCCCATCTCCTGTTACCACTCAGTACAACATGGGGTCATGTTATCCCCCATCTCCTGTTACCGCTCAGTACAGCATGGGGTCATGTTATCCCCCATCTCCTGTTACCACTCAATACAACATGGGGTCATGTTATCCCCCATCTCCTGTTACCACTCAGTACAGCATGGGGTCATGTTATTCCATCTCACATCCTACATCATCCAGAGATTTTAGTCTACATCCCACTGTAGTACATTAGAACTAGATTCATCACTCAGAGAGATTACCCACTGCTGGCTGAGGGGAGGGATAGAGCTGAGGAGAACACTAGAGAAAGAGAGAGTGGGGGCTAGAGAGAAGAGAAAAACAGCAAAAGAGAAAGGAAGAGGGAGAAACAGAGAGAGAGAGACAGAGAGAGACACAGAGAGACAGAGAGAGAGAGACAGAGAGAGAGACAGAGAGAGAGAGAGAGAGATACAAACAGAGCGAGAGCCATCATGTTCTGACACAGCAGCAGCTGGCTCTGGAGCCTGACTGGGTATCCCATTAGTGGAGTAGTGACCGACCCACAAAGGGTTCAAGCAAACTGAAGATTATTTTAAGCTCTGCAGAACATGCAAGGGCAGATTGAGTGAGTCCACAGCTTGCTTCACCCAGGAAGTGTGCGTTCAGTCTATTGCCCTCAGAAAAGGAAGTATCGTAGTGTGTTGGGTAGTACTTATCCCTTAATGAGGACACAATGTAGACTTATGAGTACCCACTATTGACACAACAAACCCTTCATGTACCTGTCTATATGAGTCAATTCAAGACAAGGGATCAAAATGGTTGTTCAATCAAAATGGTTAGGCCTACTCTTTGGCTTTATCTCTGTGTTTATCCAGCCTTCATGTAGCAGCAGGGAATTACTAGTGTGTTTACTAGGGGACAAATGTTCCCCTTGAGGATCGGGAAGGGATGTTTTGGAGGGTAGGGAAGAGAAGGGGGGTTAGGGTTATTCATGGGGATGAGTTAGAAGTCTCCCCACAGACTGACACTGGCCATGTTGAGCACAGCCACTAAACAGGTTCCAGGCCTACATCTCCAACAGAGCAGAGCAGGCCTGCCAACACTAGACCTGCCTGTCCTCAATGACACGTAGGAGCACTTTTGGCAGAGGACCTACTGATTTTTCTTTCACATTGTCTTGTCACACACACACGCGTAATTAAACACAGACACACACACACGACAGCAAGACATGAACACAAAACACACACAAGAAACCTGCATGCACACAAACAAAAAAATACATTCACACAGCAAAAAAAACACTCTCTATCTCCCTCTCCACTTCTACACCCGGTGGCCTGTGAAGCGAACCCGTCCGCCGATGGATTAATGTCAAGGGGTCTCACCGTCCGTCATGATTTAGTGACAGTTTTACGGTCAGACCCACTGTTTTTTATTGAGACAGCCCGGGAAGCCATGTAGCCGTGTATTCACTCATTCTTCCTGCCCAGAAAAGATGTCATTGTCAACTCCACACAGACGTGAAGTGAGGTAAGGGCAGCTCAGGTCTTGGGCTACTAGCCTGTTTAAACTCCAACTGTTACACTGAGTGACGGACGACGTGAGAAGGTGCAGCACCACACCCTGAACACAGTTGTCTATCCAGCCTGACTGCTACTAAAACAGAGGGAGAGGAGATACACAGATTTACCTACCCTCTCAAACCCTACCGTAATTACATAACAATTAGCAAAGGAACTTCTACTACCTCCAGTTTGATGTCATTATGACGACACAGGAGAAGCAGTCGCTAACTCTCCCTCTCCTCCCTCCTGTCTTCTCCCATCTCGTCACTAAGCACCCCCACCATACCCCCACCTGGGATATGTATAGATTTAGTCATAATCTGTGGAGGTCCATCAGGTCAATATCCCGTTACGCACACACATAATGTAACACCTCAGGGGCCCAATCAATCGGCTTCCCTCTGAGACAACAGACATTTTTTCAAGGCAGTGCCTCAGTACGCACTTTGAGATTAGGCCTATACTTGTAATGAAAAATGCTATAGAAATGTTATAAACTATTCAGTAAATACGATGGGCCTTTTCTGTGTTTTTCCACGGCTGCTATAATGTATGGTGTTTGGAGACTCACCAACACGTCTTCCCTAAGGGCCTAGCCACTCAGGTCATTCCGGTCAATACTACTGTCCCTCTCTGACCCGCCCGGAGTAAAAATATCCCCGGAGCAAAAAGACAGAAAACAAACACGATAATTATCATATAAATGGCTGTGTGTTGTAACGTGGTGTAACCACTCAAAAGTTTTCCCATTTTAGAAAGCAAAGTTTTGGGGAAGTTATTCAGAGACCTGACATGACATTGGCTGGACACGGTGAGGTGAATCCAGCTGTCTTCAAGAAGAATGCAGACCAGACAAAAACATCTCCTGATCAAACTCCATTCAACATAAACAGACAAAAGAAAGATGGCCGTCCCATTCCATGTCTCATTATCTCAGGAGCGTATCAGGCCCACTTCCAAATCCTTGCTGAGCCAAGATATTTAAAAAAGAGAGAGCAAGAGAAAGAGAACACAAAAGACAGGAGAAACAAGAATGCTGAAAGAAAAACCTAGTGAGCGCTGAAATACTAATTCAGAAAAGAGAAAGTAAAAAGAGATGAGGGAGCACTACACAGATGTAGCAAAGAGAAGGAGAGACGACAGAGACACGGAGGGAGAGAGACAGAGAGCTCAGCCTGGTGAATGCTGACCTAGCCTCACGGCAGATCTGGTGATCATAACAAATCCAAATGACCTCATCACAGCAGATTGCAGGGCCGATGGCTACAGTGATGTCACTGTGTGTGAGTGAGAAGATGATGATGAACCATAAAGGTGCTGAGAGAGCAGAGCAGAGCATACTCCTCCCTCTATTATCGCTGGGGGTCCAGTAGGGCTCTGGTGAAAAGTAGTGCACTATGTAGGGAATAGGGTGCCATTTGGAACACAACCACTGTACACCGGCCTTGTGCTGCAGAACAAATATTTACCAAATACCAATGCCATGGTCAGCTCATTAATTACCCCCCGATTACCTGCATTATTTGTGCTTGATTGAGCTTGCCTGGCTTAAAGGACCAAGAGAATAGACCCAAAACTGCAAACCATTCCCATCTTGCACTCCAGGCAGGCTAGAGCAAATTAGTATTTGAAAAGGGTGAAAGTTGTTCACCAACGTTCACTGGTGAATTGTGCTTCTGAACACAGGCACGTTCACACACCCTCTCTCTCTGGGCCCCATGTGCAATCAAAGGCCTTGCAGATGAAAGTCAGGAAATAAAGTAGTCCTTAAGGGTGAGGAAGACCGAGAACTAGAGTAGAGGCAAGTTCAAAAAGCACTGCTGATATTAGGACACATGGTGCTGAACTCCACAAAAATAAGCCAGCAACAATGCTGTCCTTTCTCACTGTCTCACATGATGGGCCCACTCTCTGACATAGGGCATTATAGAGAGAAAGAGAAATGGGACTGTTGCTATGTGCCAATGCCAAGCAGGATTACTGTGAGTGACCTCACTACACTGAGTCTGGGAAAACAAAACAGGCTGCCAGTGTAGCACGGCAACAGTCCTCGGCCGAGGCCATGGCAACAGGAGGAAAGGTAGGGCCGCTCCGAGCGTGATTAAATCTGCTCGCGCCGAGCAAACACTCCCCAGAGTACGCCGCCAGGAAACCCCACTGACCTGCTCCTCTCGCTCTACCGCAGCCTCTCTTCATCCCCCTTATTGCTCAATAACTCCTTATTGAATCACGGACACGACTGCAGAGGTTAGCTGGAGAGTTAGCCTAGCATTAGCCTGCACTGACAGAGCTGGGTTCAAAGAGCTAGCATATAGCTAGCAGCCTCTGGAGTATATAGGCCTTGTGCCTTCAAGGGTGGTAGCATTGCCAAACTCCTGAGGATCCACCAAGTTAGTCATTTTATTTTCATCAATATTTAGAGATGGGCTGTCTTGAATGAATCGCAAAAAACGTGAAAGATGAAGACCACTTACTGAGACAGGCTATTAGGCTTTTGCTTTAAGAGTAGCAAAGCAATTAGCCTAAACAATGTCAATTTAACGAACTTGGAAATCAGGCTAAGGTGAAAAGGCCATATCATTGAAGGGTTGGGTGTTGTCGTCCTCCCTCCTCTACTCCTTCTGAGAGCCCTGGTCTGCAGTGATAAGTGAATGCAGGTGGGGCTCCATGGTAGGAGGGAGTGGGACTGCTGCAGCCTTCCACCAGCTGTTCTCACTTCCCTTTCCTGCCTTCGCCTCAGGGAAGGGTTTCGTGTCGACTTTTACTCACTGTCCCAACACTCCTCCAACACTGCTCTGGGGCTTCTCAACTGAAGCCCTGTTGAACAGGACAACTACAGTCTCTCAAACTAGAGCTGCATCCCATGGGGCTCTGGTCAAATGTAGTGCACTATGTAGGGAATAGGGTGCGATTTGGGACGCAGACTAGGGCTTCCACCAACCCTTCTGTAACCCCAAGCCTAAATTGTAACAGATGATCCTATAGCTTTAGGCCAGAATAAACCAAGTTGCCACATTGTTTTTCTCCATTTCCTCCCAATTCAGTATTGAACAGGAGCAGCACTATCTAATCCAAAATGACCTAAAGAAGTCAACAATTTAAAAAGGTCAACAATATTTTAGGGAATGATTTCCCTACTTCCACTGGTCCTTCCATCTCAAAAGAACTGCATATCACAGAGCTCATCTTTAAGACACTGGGACAGAGATACAATATAATATGGTCTATGTAATTCTGTGCCCTGAGGTGTACAATACACAGACAATCTAGCCTCAGGCATTCCAATTCTATTTCAATCTCATCTATAACCAACTGCTTTTCCCCACTGAGGCTCATCTATAACCAACTGCTTTTCCCCACTGAGGCTCATCTATAACCAACTGCTTTTCCCCACTGAGGCTCATCTATAACCAACTGCTTTTCCCCACTGAGGCTCATCTATAACCAACTGCTTTTCCCCACTGAGGCTCATCTATAACCAACTGCTTTTCCCCACTGAGGCTCATCTATAACCAACCTGCTTTTCCCCACTGAGGCTCATCTATAACCAACTGCTTTTCCCCACTGAGGCTCATCTATAACCAACTGCTTTTTCCCCACTGAGGCTCATCTATAACCAACTGCTTTTCCCCACTGAGGCTCATCTATAACCAACTGCTTTTCCCCACTGAGGCTCATCTATAACCAACTGCTTTTCCCCACTGAGGCTCATCTATAACCAACTTGCTTTTCCCCACTGAGGCTCATCTATAACCAACTGCTTTTCCCCACTGAGGCTCATCTATAACCAACTGCTTTTCCCCACTGAGGCTCATCTATAACCAACTGCTTTTCCCCACTGAGGCTCATCTATAACCAACTGCTTTTCCCCACTGAGGCTCATCTATAACCAACTGCTTTTCCCCACTGAGGCTCATCTATAACCAACTGCTTTTCCCCACTGAGGCTCATCTATAACCAACTGCTTTTCCCCACTGAGGCTCATCTATAACCAACTGCTTTTCCCCACTGAGGCTCATCTATAACCAACTGCTTTTCCCCACTGAGGCTCATCTATAACCAACTGCTTTTCCCCACTGAGGCTCATCTATAACCAACTGCTTTTCCCCACTGAGGCTCATCTATAACCAACTGCTTTTCCCCACTGAGGCTCATCTATAACCAACTGCTTTTCCCCACTGAGGCTCATCTATAACCAACTGCTTTTCCCCACTGAGGCTCATCTATAACCAACTGCTTTTCCCCACTGAGGCTCATCTATAACCAACTGCTTTTCCCCACTGAGGCTCATCTATAACCAACTGCTTTTCCCCACTGAGGCTCATCTATAACCAACTGCTTTTCCCCACTGAGGCTCATCTATAACCAACTGCTTTTCCCCACTGAGGCTCATCTATAACCAACTGCTTTTCCCCACTGAGGCTCATCTATAACCAACTGCTTTTCCCCACTGAGGCTCATCTATAACCAACTGCTTTTCCCCACTGAGGCTCATCTATAACAAACTGCTTTTCCCCACTGAGGCTCATCTATAACCAACTGCTTTTCCCCACTGAGGCTCATCTATAACCAACTGCTTTTCCCCACTGAGGCTTGGGGAGTGGAGTACAAGCAGTAGAATGCTGCCATGCTACATGCTGGAGATGTACTGGTCACACACTGTACTATGCTACATGCTGGAGATGTACTGGTCACATACTGTACTATGCTACATGCTGGAGATGTACTGGTCACAGACTGTACTATGCTACATGCTGGAGATGTACTGGTCACAGACTGTACTATGCTACATGCTGGAGATGTACTGGTCACATACTGTACTATGCTACATGCTGGAGATGTACTGTACTACGCTTACCCATGCTGGAGATGTACTGGTCACAGACGGTACTATGCTACATGCTGGGGATGTTACTGGTTCACAGGACTGTACATGCTACATGTTGGAGATGTACTGGTCCACAGACTGTACTAGCTACATTGCTGGAGATGTACTGGTCACAGACTGTACTATGCTAAATGCTGGAGATGTACTGGTCACCAGACTGTAATATGCTACATGCTGAGATGTACTGGTCACAGACTGTATTACGCTACATGCTGGAGATGTACTGGTCACAGACTGTACTATGCTACATGCTGGAGATGTACTGGTCACAGACTGTACTACTGCTACATGCTGGAGATGTACTGGTCACAGACTGTACTACACTACATGCTGGAGATGTACTGGTCACAGACTGTACTACGCTACATGCTGGAGATGTACTGGGTCACAGACCTGTACGATGCATACATGCTGGGGATGTACTGGTCACAGGCTGTACTACGCTACATGCTGGAGATGTACTGGTCGCAGACTGTACTATGCTACATGCTGGACATGTACTGGTCAGACAGTACTATGGTAAATGGTCACAGCTGGTACTTTGGACGGGTGACATCTGGATTTGGCTAACAAAACAACATGGAGGAATGAAGGAGAAGTGGATCCCCCTACTTTTGCTCCAGAGGTCCAATTGGCAACATGGCGGCAGGTAGCTTAGTGGTTAAGACCGTTGTGCCAGTAACCGAAAGGTCGCTGGTTCTAATCCTCGAGCCGACTAGGTGAAAAATCTGTCGATGTGCCCTTGAGCAACGCACTTAACCCTAATTGCTCATGTAAGTCGCTCTGGATAAGAGTGTCTGCTAAATGACTAAAATGTAAATGTTCTCAGCAATATAATTTTTTAAAAAATCTCAAACTTCTTTCTTGTCCCTCTGCAGCAGACACAGCCTACTATGGTAAGAAATGTGTTTGGAACATCAAATCACAATACAATTACAGTATTGAATCATAATAATAATAAATAATAAGCCATTTAGCAGACGCTTTTTATCCAAAGCGACTTACAGTCATGTGCGCATACATTTTTACGTATATGTGGGGTCCCGGGGATCGAACCCACTACCCTGGCGTTACAAGCGCCACGCTCTACCAATTGAGCTACAGAGGACCATAATATAGAATCATGATGCATCAGATTTTATTGGATGAAATGACATAGCCTATATGATTTGCGACTGCTAGACTAATTGATCCACCCTTTCCCAGGCTCTCTAGCAGCCAGGCCCAGAGAGACACACCCTGCCTGGGGGTAGAGGCCTTGTTAGTACCTCCCTGTCCCTGGTGCTACCGTCTACCCCTTGGGGTGGGGCTGCCTGTGACAGAGATACGTTACAAAACCAGTCTAAACCTATGTGACCCAGAAACAACACTGACTAACAGAACATTCCTGGGGCACGCACAACATTGTGGAACATTCAGATAGAAATATGTTATGTAGAACAAAACTGACATGTAGAATAAGGAATCATGTCTGCAACAGTCTACTAGTCTTTTTCTTTGGATTACCTGCCATTTAGGGGCCTACCTTCTGTAACAATCTAAAATGTTTACCACCTGAATGTGACCCTGCTAGTTTAAAAAGCCTTTATGAACATGGCATTCACAACTAACCCAGCAGCACAGGGTTGTGTCTGTTCCCAGAGAGAGCTAGCTAGATCAGTGAGCTACACTACAGTACAGGTGGTTTCCAGGGCCTAGCTTTCCCTCTCTCAGTCTCCTCTCTGGTGTGAAATCCCACCCACCGCAATAATAATGACTCCCTCCCTGAGTGAGCACTCCTCTCCTCTCTCCTCCACACTAGCTCAACAATCTATTTACAGAGCATTGTACCACGTACGATCAAACCACCAAACCAGGCATCCATCCATAAGCAGGCAGGCTTGTGATTGCATTAGTTTGAATGGGGAGGACTGAGGAAATCAAAATGCTAGGCAATTGCTTAATGACTGCTGCTCACTGTAGCTACGAATAAAGAAGATGTGGAAAGAGACAGGACGTCATTGGCAGCTTGTTGTGGGGTTGGGGTGGGGGCACGGCTGTACCTAGCAGCAGCCTTTGTCAGAGTGCTGGTAAGTGAGTGAAATTAATCATTGCACACAAACGACAGGGGCTGCTTTTAGTGAGCTGATCCAGGGAGAGCCACAGAGAGAGAGAGAGACCCATCACCAGATACAGTCCAGGGAAGTGGATAGGACTGATCACTGTACACATTCACTTCACTCTCATTTGCCTTGTATTTAACTAGCTGATCGGCTATGGCGCAGGCTGTAATATGGTTATAATAAGGTAACATTGCTACTCCAGAGTATGATCAACATGTAACCTAGTGTTTCAAACCGTTGGACAGGACAAGCCAGGAACACACAGGCGGCAGCAGCAACAGCCCCAACATGACGGGAGACAAAGACAGGAACTTGGAGTCCTTCTGTTTTTCTGAGACAACTCAGCCATGCATGTAGGAAGCCCTTACTGTTAGTACTGTGGGATTACAGAGGGCCTCAAATCTCCCACTGTCAGAGAAGCCCTGAGCCAAGACCCTGGAAAACAAAGCCTGTCACTCAAGTCTGGGCCCCTGCTATAGAACACTGAACGAGATTTACGAATCGTAACACACAACTAAAACCACTGGCTCCTTCCCTACAGTGTGCCAGCAATCTAGTTAGTGCAGCCCTGTAACAAAGGGGCCGGTGCAGTGAAGGACCTGTTCAGTGTGACATCACATGGACTGACACAGCAGCAGAGGGAGGGGGGGGTCACACGGTTCCTGTAAGGGCAGACAAAGGCGTGCTGATGCGGGCCGGATGGCAGACGAGAGAGCACAATGGGGCCGAACCCAGGACAGATAAAGCCCAGGATTGGTATTCCACTCAGTGACTGCCTGATTGACTCATTGCTTGGGATGTGTGTGTGTGTGTGTGTGTGTGTGGTGGAATGGGGGGGGGGACGCAGTCTAATAAGAAAGGAAGCGTTCCTGCCAGCCACTCCCCCCCCATCGTTCCTGCCAGCCCAACCCTTCACTCCCTTACTTCTGGGGTTGAGTGAGTGACGGACCTTGAGGCAGGCGACTCCTGGAATGATGATGGATAACTCAGCCCAGCGAAGCATGTGAAAACACAGGACCCCCCCGTCTCCCATAGCACAGCCTCCCTGAAGATTCACTGGCTGTCTGACATGCTTCAGAGAACCGCTATCCAATCACTTGTTATGGGGCTTTCACTTGGGGATTCAGGCCCTAACCAGCCCGAGAGAGGTTTAACCGTACAAAACAATGTCTGGATATTAATATCCATAATAATAATAATAAGTATCCATATCCTGATTAACTCTCAAGTAATGAAAATGTGTCATTGAAGTGATGGCCATTCATTGGACACTTCTCAGTACAACACAAAATCTGCAACATCAGCAAAATGACATAAGCAAGAAGCTGACTACATTGACGTTCCCTACATGTTTAAGGGCACCTTCAGAGGCCTTGGGAAAAGTCATCTTCCCTTGATGCGACTGCGAGTACAACTTCTCAGTGCTTAGGGTTAAGCCTACTGTACCTTTGGAATACTAGGCTAAGTGTAGGATACACCTACTCTCAATACTAAGTGTATACTTTCAAATACAAAACATGTTCAATCTTCTAACAGCTGAAATAGCCAACAATGGCTCACATATTTTTTTAACCATGTGTTTAAGAACAAGAGGAATTTTTGTTCCACTCTCTCCCAGTCTTTTAAACCCTAGTATATAGTCGTTCCGTACTGCGATAGTGCTACAGATAATAGCCCATTGTACTCAGTTGGTTGTGAAGTCCCGGGGGCTTCCAGTTCAATAGCCAGGGTAAATGACAGAATAATGAGGCCCTCTCAGGTCTTCACGAGCACCGCTTCATACACAAGTGCACCTTAACAGATGAATGCAAAGCCTACATGATGTTGTTGAAAAGACGCCTATCCAGTGAAGTACTGCCCAGGCAGGTGAAGGAGTGAGGACACAGGGTTAGGCTTATTCCCACCAGACCAGATGCTGAGAATAAAAAATACAGTACAATATGTCACCAATGAACTGGAAATATTCAAGCACAGTCAATGTAATTTAGCTATAACAGTCCAATATAAACAGCAGATAAAAGTGGATTAATATAGTAGATTATAGGTATTTCATATTGGGATTACTGATGGAAGATCCACTGCCACTCAGACTGCAAGCTTTTGATGTGGTGTGAGTGATCAAGAGAGAGACAGAAAGAGGGAAAGGAGGGAGAGAGAGAGAGACGAGAGAGACAGAAGAGAGGGAGAGAGCCTACAGTAGCCTGAAGTGTAACAAGACATTCCATACCTCTACCGGGCCTATTTCATTAAATCTGGCGGACAGATCTGACCTATTACATGTTGTTTGCTGGCTTAGGAAGAGCTTAAGCCCCTATACTACATTACCAGGTCATTCTGACATTAATTTCTGACATGAATTCCCTATCGAGCCTGCTCCAGATTTTTCAGCTCTCTTGTGCCGCAGCAAATTAAGCGTATGGTTCGTTCTGGGCGTCAGTCAGCCCATAAGAAGTCCCTCTCCAAAGCTGGTGTTAGTTTCAGGTTTTGGTTACATGGGGGAGGCTGTGGTGATCTGGAGCACAGAGAGATGACTGTGCTGCGCTGTCCCACCGCAGGGACACACTCCACACAAAACAGCTGCCCAGTTTCCCCGACCCCAGCCCCCCTAATACACAAGCAAGGACAACAAGCTTAGATGAGGTCCGCACAAGCGTGCCATGCATGCACACAACAAATGTCATGATTTTTTTGAACATATGCCCCACACAAAGGTCCTTGTATGTGACTGCGCAGGTGGCTTCCAGTAAGAGTAAACCTGTTCTGACCCGTCACAGTGAGATCTTCAGAGGCCAGTGGGGGTTCACGTCACAGCGCTACACTGTTGCACGCTCTCAATACACCGCCATGGCTGCCATGCAGGCTACAGACAAGAGCCGAAAACTAGCTGAAGCAAATCCTGTCACTAGCAAGGAGCACTTATACAAAAGCCTTAGGGAGGACGGCACAATAAATAAGCCAGTGAGTAGCAGGCTGGAGAATACCGCATGTCTCAAACTTGTGGAAGTCAATATGAGGATTTGGTTTGAAAACGGTAAAGTAGGCCTAATGACAGTAGTGACTGCTATCCACATTTTACTCCTGTAACTACACCCAAGGAGAAAATAAAATGGCACAAGTAGGCTAATAGCTTAAACTAGAGTTCAACGGTTCAGCAGCAAGTATTGATTAAGAAGTCTTCACCCTACTCAAAACAACTGCCTTTGTTCAACAACTTTTTCCTTGTGGCACTTGCTTTTGAGACTCTCAGTGGAGTTAGGGCTTAATCTTGTTTGTGGATTCTTCCAACCCCCTCCTCCTACCCCATATTTGACCAAGAACTGAGGTCACTCCATCAGCTGTTCCTAGTCCCACCCTCTAGTGGTTTCCGGGTAGTAACAGACCTACCCAATCATTAAACTCGGTTCCACTGCAGGGCACACTGGGGACAAAAACAAAACAGCTTGTTCTTTTTCCCCCCCCACTCCTGCAAGTAACTTCAATAGGCCTAGAATACTTCTCAATAACTTTGCACTGTATTTTGTATACGCTAAAGAAAATAAACTTCAAAAATAATTTTGTAAATGGGAGTCCTGTTGCTTTTATACATCGACAAAGAAAAGAACAAAGGCAGAAAAGGACCTATAACAAAATGGAAACTCTCGAGCTGTTGGTGAATGCAAAAGTACAGAATTCCACAGCGCACAGCATATTCATGAAGCCCCACAAACCCAGATGGTTCATCCGTAGTTCTCTAGCCAATGGTTCTTTAGTGGTTATCGAAATATGAGAATTGGCTAGGCTTAATAGAATAACGTCCACTCCACACAATGTTACTATGCAAACTATTCTATAGCGAATTTTTTTTATAGATACAAACCCAATATTTCTGCCTACCTAGCAAAGCATACTTGTCAGCTAATCAAAAACACATTTGTATTTTCGTGATTGACAACAAAACTATTCATATTTTGAAAAGGAAAATTACAAAATAGCTAGCTATATTTCGAAGAGAACCAAATCTCAGATAGGCCGAATGTTAATGTTAATTTTATCGTCGAGACACAATGATAGTCGAAATAAACAAGTTTTATGGCGTAGCGTTATGTAAACAAACGTGATAAGTCAACATGACCGCAGGCTTGGACTTGTCTTAATCGATGATCGTCATTTCGGTTCATAATATATACACGTGATATAAAATTCGTGATGTTTAATTTGCATTTTCCATAACTAGTTACATTAGCTAGCTACGTTAAGTCACCTCGAGCAAAACAGGATGTCTGTTTGTGTAACGTTAGCTAGCCAGCCAACATTTTTTTATGGGCTAGCTAGCTACTGTACCACGTCAAGAATAGACTGAGCTTTGTTTATACACCTGGCTGGTTTGAAAAAGACGAAACAAACTAATTATACTCCTTGTTCCAACATTTTAAAATGGGTTTTACAAAACAAGATAGATAGCTAAAGCTAACTATCAAGCATTAGCAACAAACTTGGCAACAACACATTATATCAGTCTCTGTGCCTGGTCTGGTTAATTAGCTAGGTTGGCTAGGCAGCCTGCATGCAATTCATCAAGGTAACGTTAGCTAGCTACCTACGCCAAGTTATCCACTGTAGCTAGATAGCATTAGAAATACACTTTTGCTATGGACATAGCTATTGTCATTAAACGTGAGCAATAATCAATACTATTAATTGATTATACATATACAAACTATGCATTTCAAGCAGCTGTCATTACTAGCCATCTTTAGCAAGATGAAAAACCACAGAAACATTTTTGCTAACTGGTGTAAAACGTTAGCAACTAGCTAGAATTATTATCTCTGTTGTTTATGTTCTGAAAGGATACAGTTTCACCACGTCAGTATCCATTCGCCTTTTACCCGGACTTGGAGACGACATTTTTATATTCCACTGTAGAATACCAAGCCGTAAACTGATGGCAGCTCGAACGTCTAGATGTAGTATCCCAAAGTTTACATTTGCTTTCGCCGCAAATGCGTACAACGAAATATTTCCACGTCCCCAACTATCTGCAGCAATTTATAGCCCGTCTCTCGCTGCCTGCCTAGCTCTCACTGTCCTGAAGCTTCTGCTATCCCTCCGCCGATCGCGTCATATACACGAGACAAAAAACGTCAACATAAATGGCAAAGTTGTGTTAGTAGTCTTTACAGATTTATCAACGTAAAAATGTTTGATTGAGAAGCTGCCACATAGCTAAGCTATTATGCTGCCTATGCCTTTATTTTGACTATAGACTGAGATATTTTAATATGAAAATAGTATGATTACTTTAAAAAGCATACAATTGGATTTTAAAATGTGGTAATGGCACTTCTTGGGGCTCATGTCTCTCTGAGCACCGTTCTCTCACCGGACTATTCCATTACGTAGCGGCAGACAGCAGGATATATTTCCTATTTATCCCCAGCCCTGCTCAGGCCAGCGCAAGTTGCACACCGTGTAGTCCACCCAACAACCCCAATCCAGCCACACACACACAGCCAACTCATCAATCGCAAGGTCAAAGACGCTGCTAAAGCAAAATAAAATACACAAACAGAGCAGAGGGCCTCATTAATCACTGTGCTGCTCCAGTTTTCAGTGTCGGGGGGCGGGCGATATTGTGTGTAATTGACCAATAAAGTGATCTTAATTAATCTTTATCTTAATTAAATGGATGTTTGAACATAAAAGCTTGCATTAATCCTTGATACAAAAATCTAAAAGGCATGCTTGTCAGATTCCTCCTCCAACAACAAAGCATGAATATCTTATGTATTTTGGTTCCGAGATCGGAAATATTTTATTATTTTCATGGACACGTCCTTCTCCGTGGGATTGCTTCCAGTTCCGACAGATTCACCCCCTACATGTGGCATATTTGCTTGACTCCCCTTCTCTCCCCCAGGGGTGAATGCACAGATGTTGGGTGGCAACTGGCTAGGCAGACCCCAGATGGCTAACATTGACAGTCCATAGGACACAGCCTCTCTCTTCGAAATACAATTACCAGAATGGACATCCCCATTCAAGTCAATGTTCCTTGATAGGATCATTCTATTTCTATGGCCTCTCTCCCCCATAGCAACACTAGAAGGGGAAGCCAGGCCACACAACGGCATCGCTGCCAGGTTTGTTTTAGCTGCACACTTAATACCTTTCCAGAATCCCTTAACATGTATTTGAATTAAAGGATTTCTACCCTCTTTAGCACAGTTGAATTGCCTCATCAAAACAGAAACAGTGCGCTATAACTTGAAACTGGTGCAACAACATAGGATACAGATGGGACCGAATCAAGGAAGTCATTTCTGAGCAAGACCAAGGCTATAAATGCAACGATGTATCTGCTGCTCTCATAACAGCCATGTTTTTCTTCTCTACTAACTTTTTCTAATATATTACCATTGGTTGTGTAAGTCAGACTAATAGGCTACATCATTTATTATGCCTCAACCTGAGTAGCATTACTAGTACTAAACTTGGCTGATTGCTGATTCTGAGAGGTGAAGGAAAACACTGCACATGTTGTATGGTTTTAAATGAGAGCAGACAAAATGGCCACCACGGAGGACCCTGAAATGCAACTCTTCACTGCCACTGTAATTAACAAATGGCCTGACCTTGGGTACCTCAGAGTGTGGAACCACAGGACAGCCCGGGAAGAGTTAGGGCTATTGTGTAGGTCATAGACGCTGCTGTGAGAAAACTAAGGGCCACTCAAAACCAGGGCCTGTATCCACAAAGCATCTCAGAGTAGGAGTGCTGATCTAAGATCAGCTTTGCTTTTTAGATCATATTTGACAAGATTATATGGACAGATCCTAGATCAGCACTCTGAGATGCTATGTGGATACAGGCCCAGATCCAAGCTTTGTTCCCCAAACTACTTATTAAGACCCCATTTATTGGAACAGTGCCAGCGACATGTTCTCTTTTGAAGCCATTCGTTTATCCTTCCAAAACAAATTGGATATGCCGTGTGAACATAGGAAAATAAAATGCAGAGTAAAAATAAACATGTGCAGAAAGAATAACATTTTATTAAATCCTCTTGGGAGAGTTAAAGAGCATGCACAGTAGAAGGGACTGCATTGGCTAAATAGAATGAAAGACTAAATCAATGTTATCCCCAAACATTCTCTGATTTCTATGGCACATCATTTGTTCTACCTGGTTTAACATCTACTATTAAAAGATTTCCCCCGGTCCCTCCCTTTAGCACTTCAGACTTGCAAACAAGCAAAACAAAAAAGCTTTTTCAGAGTTTCAAAAAATATTTGTGTAACAAAATTGCTTTGCAACACAATTTAGTATGTGTAAGGTTTCGTAATCCTATATCTACGTCTTTGTACTCTGAAAAACACAGCACAGAAAAAATGACTTCCTCACAGCTTTTAGGGTAAAACATTTAGTACATGTTTACACTTCTCCACGACGGAGTATACCCTTCGAAGATAATACACTTCACTTTTCCCCCCCCCAGTGTAAGCCAGTTGGCTCTTTCTCACAGAGTAGATTTCAGATTCCTTGTCCCTCATATATTCCATAGACATGACAGGACGAGTGCACAGGATCCCCATGCGGCCTTCATGGGAGGTAAAACAAATGAGGCAAGGTGCTAGTCAGATCAGCCAGTGTCCGTGTGCCGTTGCATTCTGTGGTTCTAAGTTTAGTGTAAAGTCAACTCACTTTTAAAAGACTGCATTCAGAACATAATTTCCTGGGTGGGCAATGTCTGTGAAGAACTCATCGCTTTCGAACCACGCGGCCAGGCAACATTCCAAAGTTCATTGGCAAAACCATCCTCATCGGTACTTCAATTCATACCAACCCCACTCCGTTCCAACCCCCCATGATTGTAAACCAGACTTAACGGATGGGAGAAATACACTGATATGAAACCACTGTCAGTGTAACTAGTACAGTACGGCATACCACAGGAAAGAATATCAATAGAGAATGTCACGATGATCCTGTCTCTGAGGTGGAGAGAGGAAGACCTTACTGAGATGGGGAAGATACCTGCCACTGACGGAATATAGCAAACACCCTTTTAGACTTGTCATGTGGACCCTGGAGGAAAGAGAGAATAGAAGTGGTAGAAATGGCAGGTTGCTCATACAGCAGCGGCATGACCAAATGCTGAAACTGTAACAACGCAATATACACATTGCTCCATTGTAGAACATAGCTATGTCAACCCTTCATATTGTCATTATAGTATATGCCGTTTTCACAGACGCTTTTATCCAGAGTGACTTACATCATTGAGCGCATACATTTTCCTTTGGGTGGCCCCAACAGGAATCAAACCTACAATGCTGGAATTGTTAGAGCCATGCTCAACCAAGTGAGCCACAGGACCACCATTTTACCACATCCAAGTTTTGATTCTCACCTGTAGGGGACTGGCTGCCTTGTTTGGGCTGAAGCACTTCTTCATGGGGAGGAGGAGAGTGAGTGCAGCCTTCCAACCCTGCTGATGCCCTCCCTCTTGGCCCAGCAGGGGTATACCACCAGTGGGCTGGGTGTTCTCCTTGCCTACATTCACCCAGGGGCACCAGTCTCTGTGCTGGGCTAGTGGGTCAAACAAAGTCCTATTCAGGGGGCCCTCCTGAAACAACAGAATGGAGAACGTCAACAGGTGATTGTAGCATATGTTGTGGCATGCACCGGAGTAGGGTGAAGTTAGATGCTGCTCTTGGGTCAGCTTAGCAGTTTAACTTCACCTTGAAGTGCATTCCCCTCCCCCATGCACCCAGTGACCAAGATCAATTTGATCAAGGCAGACATTTATAGGAAAGGGTGGTGTTAAAACAGATTGTAGATTTGTCTGTATTATATCTGCTATAGAGTATGTACACACATCCCAGGTCTGGACAATCCAGACAAACCTGGTGTGAAAACCTGTAAAGGCTTACAGGGCTACTGGCTGATGAGAGGCACATGCGTTTGGGGTTGCGTTGGGGGCTAGAGCCCCCCGAAGCAGTCCCCTCACTCCCTGTCCCCTCCCCCTGGACTCGGCCTCCAGTCATGGGCCTCTTCCCCCTGGGCAGAGGGCCGGGCTGCTCCTCGCTGGGGCTGGTAGAGTCCCTGCTGCGGGTGCGGACCACCATGGGGGACGGACTCCCCACAGGCTGCAAAGACACAATCAACAGAGACCAACTTTAACAAACAGATCCACGATTAGAGGTATGAGAGTCCATGTTAGAACATTCTAAAAGCTACAAAGAACAGAGAAATTGGAGAAACAGGTTTGCTAGAGCTTCCGACTCATCCAAGTTCCACCTTAACCTATCCGTCCAGTTCAAGTGGCCTGCCTTGCCTGAGACCTACCTGCTCTGAGCCTCTGGTCTTGTCCTGGCTCCGCAGCCCCCTGCGGTAGGGAGTAGGAGAAGGGGAGGTGGGGGTCTTCCTGTCCCCCTGGGCCTCGGGTGCAGGCAGGGGTGTAGATGATGTTGGGGTGGTGGGGGACTTTGGGGCGTCTCCCTCTCCATCTTTTCCTGTTCCCTCCATCTGGTGGAAGTTCCACAGGCCCACTTTGCGCATGCAGAACGAGCAGGTGAGGAGGGGTAGGCTCATGGCGTGCAGAGCTGGGCTGCAAAAACAGCAAGAGGAGAACATGGAAACAAACCTATTAATAGAACATGAATACAGAGGGGGTTAAAATAGTTGAGTTAATATGGTAAGGTGCTTTTTGCTTTCCCAGGCTATAATACAAAAATTAAAAGATAAGGCAAGCAAATCGGCTACTGCCAGACCTTTTAATTTTCCTACATGGAGATGCCAATTCAATAAAGGCTTTTAAGTGCCACAATCTGGTAAGAGTGACTTGGTATTTTTTGAATGTTACAATGTTTCGCCTCCACATTTTGTGTCAATAAAAATGAGATTGAGAGACTTGTTCTCATATCTAACCTTCCAGCCCAGCCACAGAGGGCCACGATGCAGGCAGCCACCTGGACAGCCAGAGCCTCAGAGGTGGACTTCAGAGGGGACCTGCCCTGCTTCTTCTGTTCATCCTCAATCAACTGCAGTAGAACGCTGATCACATCCTCAGTCAAAGACTGCAGGGAAACAAAGTGGTGAGATGGGAGGGATTCTCTTTGTGCAAAGGATAATGGATCATAGTGCAAGAAGCCATGTGGGAAAAAGCTAAACTGCAATCTCGAACTAAGGGTTCATAGATAGACCTCCTTTAGTCCACTAGGGGAAGGGGCTAGAGGAAGGGGCTGGTATCTGGACGGAGCCCATCTTTCTATATGTGATTCACTGTTGTGTAGGAACATGGCTCCCCTCCCTCACCATGGTTTTAAGCAGTTCTGGCTTCATGGCAGGTAGCTGCTGCTCCAGGAGACAGGTGGTGTGAAAGCGCTCCAGGAAGGCACTGAGCAGCACTGATGGCTCGTTTGCCGGGACCAGCCAGAACCGGTCTAAAACGACAATACAACATCCCGGTCATGTTCAGTAAGGCACACAACAGAAATAAAAATTACTGTTTCTTATTGGACAAGTCCAGGTAGTCCCTCCCTGTTTCAGTACATCAATACAATCTCTTCCTTTTGTTGCCCAATGAACGCAGCCAAATGTACCCACCTCCATTCAACAAGAGGATGAATTCCCAAATATGAGTGTAAAAAGTTGTGCATTACCCGGGCATGGAAAGTCTGGCCATGGACAAAACTTCTCATGCTGTGTCTGTAGTTGTCTAGTTATCTCTGCTATCCGGGATTCATCTATGAAGCGGAAAGAAGTAGGGGCAAACATAGATTAAACCGCTAAAATTATTAGCATATTTAGTGATAAATTAATGACAACATTCTAAGTGTTTTTTTACACAAAAAAAACAAAAAGGCTTTTGTTATAATGGTTGAAAGTTCGGCAGACGTGTCAAACAGTTGCTCTGCTCACATTTCTGGAAGTCCAGGGTTGGTTGGAGTGATGCACAGAGGAAAGCCTGGCAACTTGAACATTTCAACATGTCACACCCCACATTGATCCAGCCATAGCTGGCGCACTTCAGGGGGGAGATAGTCCGGGGCTTTCCTGCCCATCTCAGACAGTGCTCCCGCTAAGGAAACGTTTTACACAGAATGTTGCACACTAGAAATGATCATAAAATAATAAGCATTATTAAATAAATGTGAAAAGTTATGATCTTGATGTAAAATGTGAAAAGGGGAATGTAGACAATGTTATTAGTGTGTAAAAGGCAACGCAAAGGAGTGCTGGACAACTAAAGTACTACTCAAAATGTTATTCACACAAAACTTTGGCAGTATAACATGTAATGTTGTGGCTTGGATGTGGAAAGGATATAGAGTAGGACTCCACTCTTGTGAAAAAGGCTTCTTTGTTAGATGCTTCACAAAGAACTTGACTGTTACCGTTTGGTGCCACCTTATCCAGCTCCCCCTGAACACTGAAATTCACAAGAAAAAACATTTCACAGAAGGAATTTATGTTAGTTATAGTTATAGGGCTAAACGAACATTCATCAAATACAACAATTCGTATAGAGTACTTGAAAACTAGTATATCTGTATGATATC